CCTTACATCCTCAGGGCGTGTCTGCCCACTCCTTTATTTTACCCTTGTTGCGTCCCATGTCAGGTCAGTCGGTATGGGCTTGAGGGTCTGTAGGACTCTGATCCCGAAAATTATGTCTACCATCAGCTTGGCTGGTGTCTAAGAGATCACTAAGGACAATATTGATAAATATATTTGTGTTTGTTGAGTCAGTGATTAATAACTTACTCCTGAACACCCATTTCTAACTACTGCTATGACACACCATTTTATAAACTAATCCATTGACACAGCCCTTTCGGGGAAACTGTCCAAGCTACCCTAAAATGTTTACGTAGCAACAAGTAATTCTTTGAGCAGTAGAATTAATGGAAGTCTAATCTGAGATGTCTGCCTCCCATTATCCAGCATTTATCCACATCTTCTGTCTTTTGGGTAAGAAGCAGTATGTGTGCTATTGTGCACTTCCCAGCATGGTGACTGGCAAGCCAGAGTGGACATGACTGGTTAGCTCCCTGCTGGATCTTAGTGGCTGTGTGACGTGGACACGGGACAAGCGTTTTCCTCAGAAAGATTACTACTGTCTGTGTTTTCTGATCTGCTGTTTATTTTCATCAAACTTGTAGGAAATTTGTGTTTCAGAGGTACTTACTTCTCTGTGAAATGTGGATTATGCCTTTTAAGTTCTATGTGGAAGATTCAAGCAATGGCATAAATAACACTTTCCACCTGAAGTCATGCAGAGGAAAAGGTATAGGAGACAAACTGAGGTAGGAAATTAGAGCTACTTGGACTTACAAGTCCACCTTGATTCTTCTTGAGTACTTGCTTATGATCAAAATCTTCTCACTTGTTTGGAGGCCTCTAAAATCTAGGAGGGAGTAATGACCTCCTGAGGTTCCTTTCAGCCTGAATTAGTCTATGATCTTAGCAGAAATGAGGTTTGTATTATGATAGTCTGAGGGTCCTCTCACGGCTCTGTTGATTTCACGGATTTTGTAGCAGAGTTTCTCTTCCTCACAGGGAGATACTCCATCCTTTTTCTCACTTGGTAGCAATAAATGTTTGAGAATGTCAACGAAAGTTTCTCCTTTTGAGGCAAAAGCAGGGAGTTTCCAGCTGCTGTTTTAATAGCCTGTTGCCCTTGAGTTGCTGAGGTAAGCAGCCGCTCTTCTTTGCATTCACACACTGCCTTTCTGGGAGTGATTATGAGTTCTGCAGAGATGGGAGTTTTAGTGGCAGCACTGTACTGGGGTGCAGGTTTTTCTTCTCAGATTTCTCTTGTAGGCTGTAGTTAAAGGGAGAAATCTGCTTTATAAGTTTCTCTGTTGTTTGTTTTCAATATACACTGATATTCTGACATGATGACTTAAGAGTAGGACCTGGAGCTTTCATGTGCCCATAAGGCTTTTGTGAGAACCTACCTCTGGACGGGAGCTCAGTTTTTTAGCATTAAAACACAACTGCCAAAATCTTGAAGCTGTGTCATAAAGAACTGACCTGTGTTGAGATGGGCACATCTCCAGGTTTAATGATTGATGTGATACTCTGTCCTTAAGATCAGTTACCTAAAATTGTCTTGGTATTTTAGAATTTCAAGGCTGCTTAAAAGGTTGCAGATTTTGTTTTAGCTTCATTTGCTATTTCTCCTGATTCAGGTGTTGGGTTGAATTCTTGAAAACGTTGTCTTTTTTGTTTTTCTGAACTGTGAGCAGAATTGCTTGTATTGCCAGTGTTAAGTAATGTTTTAAGGGAAACAGTACTTTTTTCCACTTGTTGTTTTGACTGCTTGTACTTGAAAACTGATTTGTTTCAAATGTTTGCAATTTTGTGCTAGACTACATTTGTATGTGTTGTTACAAATCTTGCAGCTTATTTTTTCATTCCTAGAAAAATGTGTTAAATTTATATCCTCTTTATTGATGTAATGGTTGTGAATCAGAAGATAGTGTTGTGTGCTGGTTGTCAAACAAATCTAATGACTCATAAATTTAATTATTTGTATGATTGCATCTTAATTGCAGAAAATGTATTTTAGTTATTAAATATACTCCATTAAAATCAGGTCAAGAAAAGAGTGAGATTTTCAAAATGCAACAACAAAAGTACCAATGCAAGGCAAAATGACAGCGTAAGACTAGCAAATGAAGGCACTCTGAATACTATGCCAAGCGCTCTTCATTCTTGTTTTGCTCCATTGTGTCATTGTGGCACAGCTCTGGCTTTGTGCACCACGTCCATGAATATTAGCAAGGCTTAAAGGGTTCATAAAGAATTTTAAAAGAAGAAAACTGTCATAAAAATGTCTTATTCTCTTAATGTGTTTGTTTTGTCTGGAGGCAGATTTGGAGTGGTCTGAGTACAGGTCAGTGGAAACTGTTCTGTTGTATGGATTTTGTTTCCAAGCTTTTAACATGTTATTGTTTTAATAACACTGTTTCCAAGAAATCTGTAGGCAGGAATGTCACTTTAGCAGTTACTGTTTCTTGTCTCCTCCTAAACATTTCCACTTTTATTATGGCTTGGACCTAGGAAACTTGTTCTGTTGAGTGTAACGGATCTCCACGTATGGGTTACAAGGAGGCTTCAGATCTAAATGGGTTATACAGCAGCACGATACGAGTTTTTGCATCTTCCCTAGAGAGGACTTTAGCTGTGAAATTCCCTGGTTTTCCTGCTGAAGACTTTCACCTTCAGTTCAGCTTGCCTTGGGTGGAGAAACTGCTTGAGGGGTTGGATGGCAGTTACCAGCAGAAATGTAGGTAAAGCTGTGAAAGAAGGCTAGCCAGGATTCAGCAGCTGGTAAAGTACTTCATTTGCAAAAGAAGGCTGGTGGCGTGGACATTTGCCTTAGCTCGGCTTGGGACAATTTCAGCTGCAGCAGAGTTTGTGCGAGTTGATTTCTGTTTGTGATTGGTGGGAATGAGCAGGAACCACACTTACCCCTGTGGTTCCTGCTGTCCTTTGTACTTTCTGGCATTACTGACTCAGCCCTTTCCACAAACTCTTCCAAACTGATAGCAGTGCTGCCTGAAAGACTTTAGTTGTTCTGCCCATACTTAAGCAGCTGTGTGAAGCCTGATATTTCTTTGTGCGTAGCCACTGACTCTGGCAAAAAGAGGCTCTACCATCCTTACAGTAAGAAGTTTGAGTAGGAGTTAAAACCAAAACAATCTGGAGAAGAAATTACCGTATTCCTTTTTGCTTACATACGTATAACATTATTATATTGACAAATCTGTGTATGTGCTTAGGAGCTATCCCATGAACCAAGAACTTCTCTTCATTCTAGGCCATTCTGTGATTCTCAGGACATCTCCAAAGACACTACGAGAAACTGCATCTGTCACCTAAACTACATTCCTGACAACAAGCTAATAATCACAGCTCCCCAAAAAGCAGCCCTTCTCTTGTGCACCTGTAACTTGAGTGTATCTTGGTGGTCTCCCACAAAGACTAGGAAAAATTCTACTGACAGCTTTTTGACTTCTTTTTTTCCTTTTTTCTGCCATACTGTGAGGTTGCCTTGAATGCTTTGAGTCTGTGAAAAGCTGCTGCAGCCCAACTGCCCACAGCTTTTCTTTCTGAACACTGTTCTCAACCACAATCTGGCACGCTGTTGGGGTTTTTATTATTTTATTTTTTTGGCACACTGGCTGTTTTTTATTTTCCTTCAAAGTCTAGATGCTGCTGATAGATTTGACGAGGGCAAATGGGGCTGGCTGAGCCTTAAACTAATTTGCTGATCTAAAAATAAACTTGTTCAAAAAAACCATTTATTACCCCGTGGTCTCTGTGGATCGTATATTGTGAGACCTTCCAGCTGTACTTGTGGAAGGGAAATAGCCAAGTTGCTTCCAGAAGTTGAGAGGCAAGTGAGAGGGTATGGAAGCTCTGCTCCTTTCAGTTGATGGGGATTCTTTGAGGAGAGAATCATGATGGAGGACGTGAATTTAATCCTCCAAAAACTGTCTCCATCATATTCATTCCTGCCACATAACACATGGATAAAACCTATTAGAAGAAGAAAAGGCAAGTGAGAAATCAAAGTAGCCAGAAGCATGCAACCTCTGAAAGCAAAGGCCATATCCTGCGACACAACCAAGGCAGGCTCTTGTACAGAGCCCCAAACTGTTTCTTTGCTTGTTTCTGTTCCCTGTTGCTCTAGCATCTGAACAGCAAATGCCCCGTTCTCTCACCTGAATAGCGTGGCGCTTGTCGCTTCATCTTTGTGAAGCCAAAGAGAAGTCCCCTGCAGAAGGCTGTCTGCTCTCGTTTGGGTTTGGGTTTGTGTATGCTTGGGCTTTCTTCAAATGAAAGCGCAATGCAGTAAATGATGATATGGATCGCTGAGGTAGTTGTGGCAGTTCTGTAAAGGCAATTTGTCCTTCTTCAGTCACCTGATTCCAGTGCACAAATTTGCTTTCTTCTGTGCCCCTCCTTCCAGCTGAAGGCTCTGTCAGTGAGAGAGCAGCGGAAGCAGGACAGGCTGTGTCTGAGAGCCCCTGGCTGTGGGTAGATTCGGCACAGCTACATGGAGGAGTTTATTTTTTTTTCTCTTTAAACAGGTGCTCAGCCTCTGTGGATGAAGCAAGTTAAGGTGACAAAAGTACTCCCTTGTTTTGCGTCTGAATTTGCATGCTTGCCAGGAGATCAAAAATGTCTGCTGTCCTCCAGGTAGCTCTTTTGGCAGACCTGGAAGTAGGGCTCTCTGGAAGGACTGCCTCAGGGAATGGGGTTGGGCACAAGAGGCTTCACTAGACAGGTAGTCACAGTGAGGCATCACTTCCACGACAGCTGTGTGATGGAACAGCCTAAATCCCATTGATGTGAACGTGTTAAAAATTGCTTTCTAATATTTTCCTTTGGACTCCGTGGTGTTTCAGAAACACATGATGATATGTGAATAGGAAGTAATCATGCTCATTAATCTTATGAATCCTCTATGTTTTCAGTGTTGTCCACTTTAATTGCATAGCTATAATTTTTCTCCTTTTTGTTTGTTTTTTGTTTTTTTGAAGGTAAGGAATGAAGAAGACTTTATTAAGAAACTGGACTGCAGTCCTGACCAGCATCTAAAGGTAGTGTCCATCTTTGGGAACACGGGGGATGGCAAGTCTCACACCCTTAACCACACTTTCTTCTATGGCCGGGAAGTCTTCAAGACGTCTCCAGCCCAAGAGTCTTGCACAGTTGGAGTCTGGGCAGCCTATGACCCTGTCCGCAAAGTGGTGGTAATTGATACAGAGGGTCTCCTGGGGGCCACTGTGAACCTGAGCCAGAGAACACGGCTGCTGCTGAAGGTCCTGGCCATCTCTGACCTTGTCATCTACCGTACCCGTGCTGACAGGCTCCACAATGATCTCTTCAAATTCCTTGGTGATGCCTCGGAGGCTTATTTAAAACATTTCACCAAGGAGCTAAAAGCTACCACAGCCCGCTGTGGCCTAGATGTTCCTCTGTCAACTTTGGGTCCAGGTGTCATCATCTTTCACGAGACTGTGTACACCAAGCTACTGGGCTCTGGTGAGTAGGCAGTAAGAAACCGAGTTACAATGTGCTGAACGCTCTCTATAAATTATCAGGTTGCATTGAATATTCAGCATTTTTTTATGTATCATGTAAAAGGCGTGGTTTGGATTTTGCTCTTGCTTCTGCTCTGGGAGCCAGGCTGTGGAAATAGCAGAGCATTCCCTGATGGCCATCTGACTACCCCAGATCATCTAGAATAATCCTCTTAGTCAGAGGGACACTGGCCCTGACGAGTCACGATGAGAGTTCTCCGTAGGAGGGGTCATCGTGCAGATTCAGGAGTGCGGATGAGACGGCAGGTGAAGGTGGAAACTGAGACACCCTGGGATTTTGGCAGGGATATGGAGTATCACATTGCAACAAAAAAATAAGCTAAAATAAAACTCGATGGAGAAACCAGGGTGAACATGAATAATGAAATTGATGAACTTCAATACTTACTGTACCCTCACTTTTTAAAATTCTGTGGACCAATGTCATTGTGAGGCTGGTGTGAGGTTGGGACCGAGATTGTGGTGGCACAGAGGTGATGGTTTGATGCCACTTTTCTCTGTGAAGTTATGTGATATGGCCAAAGCAGCAAGCCTGGCACACTGCTATTCCCATCGCTTTCGGTGTTCTCTGCTTGGCTTGTGTCATATTGGATTATGCATATTTAAATTGTGTATTTTATTTGTATGTCTGGGTGAAACGCACCGTCTATGGAAGTCACGGCACATTTTGGTTTTGACTGTACAGGGATCTAAATTACTTCTCCTGGCTCCTTTTTTTAAACTTTTTTTCATGGTTCAAAAGGCATGATGAAACCTTTCTTCATTCTGTCCATTTCTGATGCGTTGATGAGCAAGAGCCCTAATGAGTTGGCCTGCAGTGTCTGAGGCTCAGTCCTGCTGTTTGGGAACATCTGGGAGCCTTCTGCTGTGTCATGCCAGAGCAGCTCCCTGCTGGCCCACATTCTCATTTTGGTTTTTCAAACCAGTGAGGTCTTGAGCTAGTAGAAGAACTTGGCATTCTTTCTGGTTATTATTAGAGTGACTTCTTAGATTACTTTTAACTTACCTGCTGAGGCAGTTCCTTTTCATACATACTAATTTGCTGATTAGCAATGCAGAGTTTCACACAGTTCTTGAAATTTGGTGTTTCAGCTGGTCAGATTTAGTGACCCATAATGATAGTTGCACCCATGTGCAAAGTCAGGGTAGTAAAAGAAGTGTATTTTGTGATCAATTCTGATCATGGTAGGAATGGGAAAGAAAACTCTTAGCACATGCAGCAAAGCTGTAACCCTCAGTCCCCATAGATAATTCAGGTGTGTTTATGTGGTTTTAGGGCAGGGAAGAAGGGACCTGCCTTATTCTGAAATGTACAGCAAGTCCTTGGCAGCAGGCAGGAGAATGCAGTCAGCTTACGGAGTCTGACCTGATGTGGCCAGTTCTGAAGTGCTTCCCTGTGTACAAGGGGTTGATCGAGGCACTGTCTCACTTGCTGCAGCGTTGACACAGAGAATAAGCAGCCCATGTCAGGTTCATGCCTTCCCCTTATCAGGTGCTAGGATGAGCTAGAACCAAGTTATGGTCTGGTGAGAAGAGCTAACAAGTGTGCTGGCATGGACTTGCCTTATTACATCATAAATTGCTTCTTATTCTGGGTATCTGTGTTTCCAAACCTAGAGTGTTTTAGTTTGATATGTGGAACTTGGTCTTAGAATCTAAAGCTGTGTATCAAAAAACAGAAGCTGTTTTTGAAAGTGGTTTGTTTCTTTTCCTTCCTGTAAAAAATCATGATAACTGTGTTTCAGGTGTCTTAGAAAGTTTAATTAGGAAAACCTAGTGCTGTGTTGCATATGAAAGCACTGTGCAATTTAAATATTATTTTAAACAACCAGTTGTTTATATACTCCCTGATACTCTTATATATAGATCATCCCTCTGAGGTTCCCGAGAAGCTCATTCAGGATCGGTTTCGAAAGCTAAGCTGTTTTCCCGAGGCTTTCAGCTCAATCCACTACAAGGGAACAAGGACATACAATCCCCCGACAGATTTCTCTGGACTTAGGCGAGCTGTGGAGCAGCAGCTGGAGAACAATACCACTCGGTCACCTAGACAGCCTGGGGTTATCTACAAAGCACTAAAAGTAAGTGGAGAAGAGTTGGTCAGGATCTTTATTTGTATTGCTGTGGCTAGTAACTGTCAGGTGCAGCTAATAAAGGTAGAGCATGTGAACCAGTGACGCAGACTTGCAGGTGTCTGGAGGTTAAGCAAGTCTTCCATGAAGATGATGATTGTTGTGTAACAGCTAGATAGGCTGGGTATTTTTTTTGTTGTTGTTGTTTGGTTTTTTTACTTTTAAACAAACACCTTAGCAAAGATCCTGAAAGGTCAAGAAAAGTTGAAGAGCAAAGCAGAGCAAAACCAAAAATCCCTGATGTTATGAGCAACAAGCACTTAAAGACAGTTATTTAGAAAGAGGAGGACCAGGAGAAGTCATTAATGAAATTCCTAAGGGTGGCATCAGCACACGGGGAGGGAACGTAAGAGATTGGGAGGGAGCTAGCGGTTGGCAAAACCTGGCACTAAGTGTCGCGTAACCCAGGGGCTAGGAGCCAAAAAGTGGGGAAGAGATGTGCTGGTAGCAAAGAAACAAGATGGGATCAGACCAAATGATGTTTCATCTCAGAGATGCAGCGTCAGATCAGAAGGCTGATGAAAGGCAATTGGAGAGAGCAGACTGTAACTTTTCTATTTTATTTTTTTTTTCTGAGAAGGTTCACCTCGGTAGGATGTCAGAGGGATTTTCACGTCTTAAGATTTGCAGTCTGGCCTACAGGTTTTTCTCTGTTGCTACCACTCTGATCAGCACAATATTTTCATTGGCCTGAAGAGCACAGCTGTCAGCGGAGAGGGGCGGGCAGAGCTGAGACATAGCTGCAGAAGAAGGTAGTCTTCTTTGATGCTAGTCACAGCTGTTGGAACAGATAATTCCAGCTGCTCTGTATTTGGGGTAGCTGAAGCACAGAGAGTGGAATCGTGGTGGAATGTCCACTGTTCTTTGCATTAGGGAACGGACAGTCCGCAAGGGAAAAACAGCTGGAGTATGTAATTCCAGTTTAATTTCTAGGACTTTATTAAAATAATCAAGTAATCCAGTTTCAGATATAGCCACTTTAAATTCATGTCCAGTAAAGTGGTTGCTGTGTTCAGATGACTATGGACAGCAAAGAGTATGTCCTCAGATACTGTGAGAAATGACTCTCTTGAGCTTCCTTCTGGAGGTTTTTGGAGTGTAAAGCCCTTTTAGCAAGCATCCTGCTATTTTGGCCACGGGTTGTATGCATGGAGGTGGATGCAATCTTCTACCACTCATTTCTACTATGAAATGCAAAGCAGGGACAGGAGGAGAAAAGTAAGTATCTTACAAGCAGTCAGGTCACTTCCATGTAGGTGCAATATTGTCTTCATGCTTGATTTCTAATCCTTGTCTTGGTTTCCAGGTTGGTAAGACATTATTTGTTAACTGTGTACTCTGTCTCTGTGCCTCTCCCTCCAGTAGAGGAACCCCATGCTTTTGCTTACAAAAAGCTTGCATAAAATGTCTCCATTGCTCTCGGTCCCTTACCAGTTCATTCTCCTCTGTCTGACAGGCTCTAAGTGACCGGTTCAGTGGGGAGATCCCTGATGACCAGATGGCTCACAGCTCTTTCTTTCCAGATGAATATTTCACGTGCTCCTCTGTGTGCCTCAGCTGTGGGTAAGTAGATGAGAAATGCACCCTCATCCTTCTAGAAGGCAGTGCTGCCTCGGCCTGCAGCCACAGAACGTAAAGTTTATGTGACATCTTGACACCAGACATCACCTATCATTGTCAGAATTTGCTTGAAATTCACTAGATCTAAGTGAAGCTTCTGGAAACATTTTCTCTCCAATGTGATGTAGTGCTACCTTACTGCTCCGTTATGCTCATTAGAGAATTTCTAGCAGCTCCTTGCTGCTGTCTTGGTTAGTTTCCAGACTTGGTTAGTCCTTCCTAAAATTCTCTGAGAAATTTAAATTGACTACAGTGATCATTTCCTGCACTGAATATCATGTGGTGCTGCTTTGTACTTTGAAACAGTTGCTACACCTCCTTCCAGAGAGCATGCCTTTCGATGGTAAATGGTGTCGTTGCTGTACGTGCAGTTGTGAAAATGGCTTGGGGTTACCATGTCTATTCAAACGCAGGGTAGTAACGTAAATGAACTCTTGGTGGCATCTGGCCCATCTCTAACAACATCAGCCCATGGTTTGCTTTTGCGTACTCAGGTGTGGCTGTAAGAAGAGCATGAACCATGCAAAGGAAGGAGTCCCTCATGAATCCAAAAGTCGATGCAGATATTCTCACCAGTATGATAACAGAGTCTACACTTGCAAGGTGAGTAGTGATGCAAGGACAAGGTCTGAAGAATGGAGAAGGAAAGGATGGTCCAATAAATGAGGAATATCACAGGCGCGTGCCTGTTTTTTTGATTTTTTTTCAAGTGGGAGAGGTGCTCATGGCCTTGGTGAGAAAAATTGATACCCACTGAGCTTGTATTTTTGCTCTGAGAGAGGTCATCACCTCTGCATGCTCTGTGTCATCTGCTAGCTTAATTGTCAATCCAGCTGCTCTCAACCCGGGTGATGTTAACCTCCTACATACTTGATGTGATTCCTCATTTTATTTGTTTACACCCCTCGCTTGGTATTAGCCAATTTTTCTGAAGGATGCATGCAGGAGGTAGGAAAATTTTTGGCTACTATCATGGGTTTTATTGCTGTAGAAATATTTTCCTGATGTCATTATTGAACAGTGGGTTTGGTTTTGTTTTTAAATCAGTTCTGATGAGTGCTCTCCTTTGCTGTGGTGACCACTGTATGCAAATTACACGCTTTATGTGGCCAAACAGCTGCAAGACCTGGCACCTGCCAGAATGCAGTTTTAATTGAGCCTTTGTGTTCCTAGGCCTGTTACGAACGAGGGATGGAGGTCAGTGTGGTGCCAAAAACTTCTGCTTCCACTGACTCCCCTTGGCTAGGCCTTGCCAAGTATGCTTGGTCAGGGTGAGTACTGCAGCTGAGACATCTCTGCTCGCTGTCACCTCCACGCTGCCTGGTGCACTGGACTTCCAGTACCTCACTGAGGTAACCCCTCTTCCTCTTCTGCAGGTATGTGATCGAGTGCCCCAACTGCGGGGTGGTGTACCGCAGCCGGCAGTACTGGTTTGGCAACCAGGATCCTGTGAACACTGTCGTGAGGACAGAAATCGAGCACGTCTGGCCAGGGGTAAGTCTGGTTGCTGGATGATCGTCGTGTACGTGTGCAGCCACGCGTGTGTTTATGTTGATTCTTCCAGACGTCTATGGAGAAGGTGGTTTGGCTTTCATTACAGCTGGCCCCTGTCTCTCTGTTTAAAAGAACCTTTGCGAGGGCCTTTAGTCATTTTTTGCTCTCTTGAAATGGCTAAGTTGCTGGTTGATGAACACTGTATGAGCAATACACCGTTAAAACCTGTCCCTGTGTTTCAAAGCAGGGCCAGTGAATTTTTTTCCTCTGCTCGCCCTCCAGTATATCAGGAGCAGTGGGTTGCAGAGCCATCTGCATCTAAAAAAAAAATGAGATTTCTGTTTTTCTTCTCAAGTGAGTATCCATTTCATTTCAGACGGATGGCTTTCTGAAAGACAACAACAATGCAGCCCAGCGTTTGTTGGATGGGATGAATTTCATGGCACAATCAGTATCTGAACTTAGCCTGGGACCCACAAAAGCTGTGACCTCGTGGCTGACAGACCAGATTGCCCCAGCTTACTGGAGACCCAACTCTCAGATCCTGGTAAATAGCAGCTGCTGTAGAGAAAAGCTTTGCACAGCTAAAAGCTTTTTTTCCTCACCCTTTAAGCAGTACAGTATTTTGCAGATGCCAAGTGCTGCTTATTTACTGCAGCAAACCCTTCTACAAATTTGAGAAAACTGAAACGCTTTCAGCTCTTCTTGCCTTAGCCAGAGGAAATATGAACAGAGACTCTGCCCAATCCTGCTAAAGAGACTGTTTCTCCTTGCTTTTTGTGAGCTCCTCTCCAGCAATATCCCAGAAAACCCTGGATGCATGAATTTGCTCCTCAAAGCAAAGAATGAATATCTTAAATCTGACTACTGCAATTGATAGTACTATTTTTATTTTTGTAGGGATTAAACTCTGGTTTCATACCAGATGCAAAAAGCTGGCCCCGACAGTTGAACTAGGAAAAGATTCCTGGTGTCTTGCAGGGAACAGCTGCTTCTTCGGTGAAAACTGCCTCCTGAATTCTTAGCCCCCACAAAGATCATATACACATGGTTCAGGTCTGTGTGATATGGCTGGAATTCCTGGTGACTGACGGACGAGATCGTAGCAATCTCTTGCTGTGTACAGCTGACTGTCTGCATCCCTTCCTGAGGATAAAGTTACGGGGCTGGTAGCACCTAGGTCTTGGGTGTAACTATTTTGCAGTGTTTTTGAGTCTTGCCGTGCTGGGATTCTGCTCTCTCTTTTTCTGTTAAGGAAGGTCAAACTAACAGTTTTTCTTTCTATGTTATTCCATTAGAGTTGTAATAAGTGCAACACGCCTTTTAAAGATAACGACACTAAGCATCACTGCCGGGCCTGTGGAGAGGGCTTCTGTGATGGCTGTTCTTCCAAGACCCGTCCAGTGCCTGAGCGAGGCTGGGGACCAGCACCTGTGCGTGTGTGTGACAACTGCTACGAAAACAGGGGCATCCAGTTAGGTAATTTCAACTCGATTGTGACAGAATTATCCTTGGGCAACGGTTGGTCTCAAGTCTTTGTCCCTGGCTTCTGGATCACAACCACTGCGACTGGGTGTAGACAGTGTTGTTCAAACTGGGCTTTGGCACAGAGTCTTCAACAGGAAGGCTCAAGA